GTGGTAGCGCATGCCTGTAGTTCCAGCTACTTGGAAGGCTGAGGCAGAAGAATCGCTGGAGCCCAGCAGGTCGAGGCTGCGGTGGCAGCAACCATTGCACTCCAGTCTGGGTGACAGAGTGAGACTCCAACTCAAAACAAAACAAAACAAAAAATCACTTCCGACACACCTGATATCAAGCCACTCCTCCCCTACCTGTTTTTAAAAATGTATTTTAAGGCCAGGCTCAGTGACTCATGCCTGTAATTCTAGCACTTTGGGAGGCTGAGGTGGGGGGATTGCTTTAGTTCAGGGGTTCGAGACCAGCCTGGGGAAAATAGCAACACCTCATCTCTAATTTTAAAAAATTATAAAAAAAAAAAAAAAAAGTTGCTGGGTGCAGTGGCCCATACCTGTAATCCCAGCACTTTGGGAGGCGGAGGCGAGAGGACTGTCTGAGCTCAGGAGTTCGAGACCAACCTGAGCAACATGGCAAGATCTCATTTCTACAATCTAAAAAAAACCATTTATTTTAATAGATGAAGGAGACTCAGAGAGAGAAAGCAATTTGTTCAAGTGCTCCTTTAAAACAATACTGTGAGGACCGGCCCTACCCCACCCACCCTCAGGGGCCCTGACAACTGCCCCGCCTACCCACACCCACTAGTATCTTCATTCTGAACCTTCACTCAACTGCTCCCTCTGTCCAGCAGGCCCTCTCTTGCTCCTTTCCTCCTAGTCCTGGCCACAGATTCAGCCACCCCAGGGCCTCTCCTGGGTCTTGACCGTCTCTCTCCTTGAGCAGCAAGGTGCACATGGGCTGGGTTCGCCTCATGCACACTTCCTAGCACCTGGCAGACTATGCTAAACCTGTGAGAAATGGCCATGGTGAACGAATGAATGCACTGTCAATGAATGAAGCCAGCAGGGGTGTGTGTGACTTACCTGGTCCCACAGGGCCATCTGCCGGTTGTTCCATCGGGATGTTCCTGTGGACAGCAGCTTCTTCAGGTTCCCCAGAAACAGCACCTTGTTGGCCCGGTGTCCCTTGTAGCTGGCCTCCTGGGGGACATGAGCAAGGGACAAGTGTGCTTGGCATTGGAGAGACACAGGGAGGGGACTGCTGGGTGGCAGCTGGGGTTTCTGGTCTCCCTGCCTTGCTTCTGCTGCTGCTCTACCTGGAAGGCTTCCCTTTCTCCCCCAATTCTGCCTGGAGTATCCTCCCAGAGGCACCACTTCCTAGAAACCTTCCTGGATCCCTCCCTCCCACCCACAGGGAGTCTCTCCTCACTATTTTTGTTAAGAGTTCTTTTTCTGAGCAAGAACGGAGGCACACCTCTGTCCAGCTCCACGCTCTTGCTGAAAGAGTGCTGAGCACCCACCCAGGTGAGGCAGGGGGCTGGGTGGGCACTGCTACTAGGTTGTCTTATCCTCTGAGGAAGGATTAAGGGCCCTGTGTTGCAGATGAGAAAACAGAGGCTCCAGGCAGAAAGCACTAGCCTCAGGTCCCATATTGGATCCACAAGGTTGCCCTCAGGTCTCCTGATCCCTGGTCACCGACAGAGCTGAGGCACCCAGACCAGCTTTGGAATTAGACTCTGTTCAGATGCCAGCTCTCCTTGTAGATAAGCCACTTCATCTCTTTCTTGGAAAATGGAGATGACACATTCCCCCCGCCCTGGCCCCGGCAATGCCTAGCGGACAGACAGGGACATGGCCTGTGCAGGTCTGGCCAGGATGCTGATGGCATGACTGTCCTGTTCTCAGAAGCTTCCTCCGGCCACACTCTGCCCCTTGTACCTCTGCCCTCAAGCCAGACCCTGGCCTGGAACTGACCTGGAGAACTGTTTCTGCTCGCGGGTCGAGAATCCGAATCTTGCGGTCCTTACAGGTGGTGGCCAGCAGGCTGCCGTTGGTGTTGAAAGACATGGAGAGGATCACGTCTTGGTGGCAGTCAATCGTCCTCACAGGGCTCATGATGACAGCCTCCTTTGTATCCAGATTCCAGACCATCACCTGCATGGCAGAGAGCCAGCTCTGAGCACAGAAGCCAACCCCGCCCTGGGCCGCACAGCCACACGCTGGCCGGGCCGCTGTGAAACATGGTCTCCCCGGGAGGGGATTGCAGCTGGCCGCCTGGCCAGGAAGCCTCACTGGGAGGATGGACCTGTCGGCTGCAACTGCACGTGGGGGGGGGGGGGGGGGGGGG